TTATATAGTAATATAGTATATAAATAATATAAATATATTACTATATAATATACTTAATATATTATGTAAAATATGTATAATAATATTCCCCCTATTCAGTTCAGTTCAGTTCAGTTGCGTTTATTTATAGGCCGCCCTTTTCCCTGGGGGGACTCAGGGCGGCTAACAACTTATGGGAGGGGAAGACATACAATAACATAAAAATACAGTATGTAATTAAGATCAAACAACATTCATTCAACATTCGGGCGGGGGCAAACTATGATCTTTACCCCCAGGCCTGGCGGGATAGCCAGATCTTGAGGGCTGTGCGGAAGGTCTGAAGGGTGGTGAGGGTACGAATCTCCATGGGGAGTAGAAAAATAGGGACCACCTTTGGTGGGAAGGTAAGAGCATTCCGTGCGCCTTTGGTGATTAGTCATGCTGGCCACATGACCATGGAGACGTCTTTGGACAGAGCTGGCTCTTTGGCTTTGAAACGAGATGAGCACCACCCCCTAGAGTTGGCAATGACTAGCACATATGTGCGAGGGGAACCTTTACCTTAAGGAAACAATTTCACAACCAAACAAAGGCAGTCCCCTCTGGAGGCTGCATTCGTGTCATCAGGAGCCAAGAATCCTTCTCACCCTTTCAATGTCTCCCTACCAAAACAAGAGAGAGTGAAAATGACTGTAACAGAAGCGCAACCACAAACGTACCTGTGGTAGGTCTGCGCTTTGGGAGCTGCAGATCCTGGTTTCGAATACTGCTACCCACACTCCACGCTGGCTGTGTCTGGCTGCCCAAAAGCCCTGGATTGTTAGAACCTGGGGATGAAGAAAAGCAAAATGGAATAAGAGGAGGGCATTTTAAGCAAGGGGGTTGCAGCATCTTAAAAACTAGCCAGGTTTTACAAACCGCAATCGCCAGCTAAGGCTTTGAACCCACCATATTCTCTTATAGTAGCAGCTCAGTTCAGCCCTTTGTCTCTTTCCTTCCCTCTCCAACCGGTATTTACCCTCCGATGAAGACGCGGGAGATGTCACTGACGGCACTTCCTCCTTCTCAGCCGAGCTGTGGGTGTGAGGGGGTGAAGCTCTGAGCGCGTGGTTGGGCAGGGGAACAGCAGTTAGGGCAGGCAGCGTTGAGGGTGGCTTCTCCTAGCAAGCGAGGAGGAGATGAAAACCTGTCAGCAAAGAACGTTACAGAAAAGCTCTGGTCTTTCAGCCTCGGGTTCCCCACTGGAAGAAGAAAATTTGAGAACACGTTGCTAAAGAACCCGGTTGTGGCTTGCATGGCCAAATCTCTGGTTTGTGCACTGATCTCTCACTGCAACTACCTCAACTTTCTTTGGTTCTCCTCTTCCACCCTTCCATTCTGATGGCAAAGTCATGCCTCTTGTAAAACGTTTGAAGAACGGCTGCAGGATTTGGGTTTGGCTGGTCTAAAGAAAAGAAGAATTAGGGGCGACATGATAACAGTATTCCAGTATTTGAGGGGCTGCTGCAAAGAAGGGGGGGGGAATGTCAAATTATTCTATAAAGTACTAGAGGGCAGGACAGGAAACAATGGTTGGAAACCAACCATAGAGAGAAGCAACCTGGAATTAAGGAGGAACTTCTAACAGTGAGGACAATTAATCAGTGGAACAGCTTGCCTCCTGAAATCGTGGGTTCTCCATCAGTGGAGGCTTTTAAGAAGAGACTAGACTGTCACTCATCCGACATAGTATAGATTCTCCTGCTTGAGCAGGGGGCTGGACTAGAAGACCTCCAAGGTCCTTTCCAGCTCTGCTCTATTCTATTCTACTCTACCCCCCTTTTTCTCTCCAATCGTTCCGTACTGAGACAAGCCATGTCCTATAACCTTTGTTCCTCTGGCTGCACCACCCACACTGTCACAACTAACTCTACTTCCAGAGATATTATCTCTTGCTGCTTCCCAGAATACAGGTGGTCCTCACCTAACGACCAACTACTTGGCCAACCATTCAAAGTTATGACAGACCCGAAAACAATACTTATGACCCAGACTTGGAAGTTCCAACATCTGCCCCTCCTCCTGGTCATGTGACTGCATTTTGGGCATTCAGCAATCAGCCTGCATTTAGGCTGTAGTGGGACCTGTAGTGTCCCAGAGTCATGTGACCATGATTTATGACATTCCCTCTTCGAAACAAGCACTTAATTCCAGTTTCCAGCAAAAAACACCCACTGCAAAAAAAGGTGCTAACATCAGGCACAGTCATGTGACAACCTGCTTAATGACTTGTGTGACATGACCACAATTACGGGCTCAATTATGGTTGTAAGTCAAAGACTGCCTGCATTTGCAAATATCTCCTAGAATATGTCTGTGAGGCTGCCTTTGTCCTGCGAAATCATTCATTCCTCTGAATTTATCTTTTATTTTTATTATGTTAATTTAATAGCTGTTTGAGTGCAAAAGAAAGAGAACGGGCAGGAATGAGCAAAAAGAGATTTATGACTGTAAATTATGCAGCTCTACTGTATAAGCAAAAACATGTTTTATTCAAGGCTTTTGGCTCCTGCACTCTAAAAGAACTCGGCTGACAGCTGAACCTTGACATCGACAATGAAACAAGTCGGCTTCTTCCTAATTTACCATTCTTTTTCAACTTTCCTTCCTCTCTTGATCTCCCAAATCAAATGTTAGGTGGTTACGATCCTGAGGAAAAGCACTTGGATAATAAATAACACAAATTTATGCCATGTATATTATATAAATAGATTTACAAATGTTAATATTAATACCCACCCAATTAACTTGACAGGTACAAGATCCTTTGGGACTATTGTTGTCACTTCAAAGTTACTGAGTACTTTTCAGAGCTAAGGCTATAAAACACACACACACACACACACACACACACACCTCTCTTAAGAAGAAATTGGAAATATATCCCTAATCCCCTCTCTAGACCCAAGTCCCTTGTCTAGCATTGCTCCTCCAGATGCTTTACAGAAGCTCAGAAACAGAAGGGGAAAAAAGGGCTATAGCTTCAAGCAAAAATAGCGTCCATTTACATTTGTAAAATTATTTTACAATCCACAGCAAGGCACATCTAAATATGTGCAGCGTGGTTTGTAAAGTTTGCTATACCAAAGGTTAAGACAGGAGGAGGAGCTTTGTAAGATCTTCTGCAGACTACAGAAAAAACCAAAATGTTTTAAATCCATTGTAATAGTAAAGTAAATAAATATTACAGCAGAGTGTCCCTTGTTTGGGCCTTTCATTAATTGGTAAGGTTTCGATTAGATCACAAATCTCAGAGCAAAGTCTAATCTACAAGGAAGAAGGCAGATGGCTGGATGTTTGGTGGTGGGGGGCGTTATAAATTAAAATGCTCACAAGGGCAAAGCAGAGTATCCATCAATTGACTGGCTGGCTGCAAGGAATGGGAGGGAAAGACAATGCGCTATTTATTTGGGTACCATTTCTATGCTCGCCTTCCAATAAATACAAGACTGTAAGCAGACAGGTGGGAAAAGAGTGACTGACATACAGGCTTTCTGAATTCATTGATGGAAGGAAGGAAATGGAAGGTCCTAACAAGGCCTCCCTAATTCAAGTGCATTCACCAATATTCTATTTTGCGTTTTCCTGAATGGATGCTGCCTCTGCATTACATTCTCGGGATCTTCTGGTATTGGCTACTATTGGGTTAAGGCCTCTTCTTGTTGTGTTTGGAGTATGTTCCTTTGGACTGATTTCTTCCAGATTTACATTCCATCCCCTTGACTCATAACCTACTTGGGGTTGATGGACACCATCCCTATGCGGGGATAGAGGAAAGCCAAACCATCCAGTTTTGAGGAACACCATGAACTGGGACTGACTACTATAACTCTTTCTCACAGGCAGTACCCACCATCAGGGCAAAAGAGTGAGGTTTCCCTGCCTTGCTTCTGAAAATCTTCATCCAAAACAGTATCAAGATATGGGCTCCTGAGGTTGAAGCTCTTTTCTACTTGCTTGCCAAAAGTCCATGAAGCCTACTTCCTTCCTTGCCTTTGGTCTATCTAGCAGGGGTGGGCAATTAATTTTGAATTGTTGTGGAAAGCCGAACCAATAGGCTTGTGAAGGTGTGTAAGCGTGCAAGTACATACCTAAACTGGGGGGGGGGGGAGGAAGCAGTCGCCTTCAAAATAAAAGCAGTGTAGTTATATTGCGTGCATAGTGTACACCTATTTACATTTGATTTCTAATTTCAAATTACCTCACGTGGGCCGGACAAGGATATTGTGGCCCAGGGGCTGTAAAAGAGCCTTCCCTATTCTTTAAAACAAAGTGTATCCTGCAAACTGCAAATTGTACCCCACATAAAATATTGAAGACTGCAATCAAAATTAGAAAATCTAATCTCAAGAAAGAAATTAGAAAAGAAATCCAGTTTGAGGTAGTGGTTAAGGCAGGGGTGTCAAACTCGATTTCATTGAGGACCACATCAGAGCTGTATTTGACCGGGGGGGGGGGCATGGCCAGGGGGGGCATGGCCAGCATGACTTCACTCATGTCGGAGGGGGTGTGTGTGACCCAAGTGCTCTGCCAGCAAAAATGGGCTCCTAGCCCACCTTTTCAGCCATGATGACCTCCCGCAGCCTTCTGCCAGCAAAAATGGAGCTTAATGGCAATAGCAATAGCAGTAGACTTATATACCGCTTCATAGGCCTTTCAGGCCTCTCTAAGCGGTTTACAGAGAGTCAGCATATCGCCCCCAACAAT